CAAATCATGACCCCCGGCCCTGGGGATAGGGTGGGGCCAAAATGGCCGACCCATATTTTACATACGGATATATAGGGAAACCTTTTAAAATCTTCTTTTCAAGTACTTCAAAGCTATGATTAGTGATACCCGGGGTGTTTATATGGAATCATCCTCAGGTAGTGTAGATTCTAGTTTGTTCAAATGATGAACGCCTGGAAGGGGGGGGGGGGAGTAAATTCAAGCCAGATGTGCTCAGGTGAGCGCTGTGGCCCCTGGGCCTCTTGTTGTCTTCAGATCTGCGTGCGCGTCTATGCACACATTATCGTCTAAATTACGAACCCGATCTGTCAATACACTAGATTCTTTATCTTTTATTTTGTGGCCACGAATTTTATTTCGTTCCCACGAATTTTTGTTTCGTGGCCACGAATCTTATTTTGTTCCCACGAATTTTATTTCGTGGCCACGAATTAACAAAAAAAATCCCATACCATGTCCTATACCAGCCACCGTAGAAAAGGGCCAAAAGATGTGCTTTAAAAGTAATGTTGATTCAAAAGCTGAGTGGAGAAAAAATAAAAGAATTTCGTTTTCTTTGAGTTTCGATAGTATCTGTAAGAGAATCATTCGATTCCTGAATCGATCTTAAGTAAAACTGCTATAAAACAACGTATTTGTTATCAAAATATTACAAATTTTACAATGTTTTGGTTTTTGAAATCGTAAAAATCTTTTATTCTAGTAAATGTATTGTTGTTTTAATGCCAAACTTGTTTTCTGTTGACTTTATATAAGATAAATTGTGAATTATGAGAGCAGGGGATTTCGGAGTATATTTAATGCGGATAAATTAGATAGGTAAAATATACTAAGGGCCAAAATTTAGCATCGAAGAATTATAAACTTCATTAAATACGGGATCAAAAGTTGTGGTGGTGAATAGAATCAAGCTGAATTTAGTATAGGCACTTGGAAAATTCTAAGCCCCTATTATTAACAGGAAACAAGAACCTTAATATTTCATTAAAGTTTTAAACATACATGTATTTCTTTTCTTACACAGGTACTCACATCTCTGGTACTATAATATGTCACACGCTCACGCAATACACAATCGAATCCGACAAAACATGTCTAACGGGTACAGACATTGGTAATATCTTGTCCTTGTTTGTGAATGTCGACCTGAAGCTGGTAACAACGGAAGGAAACTATGTCTCACTGTCCACAGAACCATGTTCATGTGCTGGATCGTTTTACATAAACGGTAAATTATCGAAGATTCTCTCTCTCTCTCCTCATAGTACACAGCTTAGTCCGCCCTATCAACCTGACACATCCGCTGTGTGTCCTATTGCTTGCATCTACAGAAAAATCCATTGGCAAATTTAGCATTAAAATCAATGACCTTGCAATTGTATGGAATATATCAGTTGAAATACGAAAAATTTGTACTCCTTAATAATAGCCCAACTTTTACTCAATTAACATGCTCTTAGTACGATCATTTTTATACAAAGAAAGGCTACGGACCTATAAGTTGATATTTCAAGAATTTCAACATACCCATATAAAGTCAGAATTTTGTAATTTCTAAGTTCTCTATTGTGATACATAAAACCCATGTTGCAACCACTATTGAAATAACGACCACTACTGAAATCATTATATCAATAGTGGTTGAGAGTGCATTTCAATAGTGAACATACATGTAGTTAGCAACCACTATTGAAATGATTATATCAATAGTGATTGAGAGTGCATTTCAATAACAAACATAGTAAGTAACCACTATTGAAATACGACCACTATTGAAATAATTATATCAATAGTGGTTGAGATTGCATTTCAATAACAAACATAAATAGTTACCACTATTGAAATACGACCTCTATTGAAATAATTATTTCAATAGTGGGTGAGAATGCATTTCAATATTATAACCATAGGTTTCAACTACTAATGAAATACAAGCACTACTGAAATAATTATTTAATAGTGGGTGATAGTGCATTTCAATATAGTAACCGTAGGTTTCAACCACTATTGAAATATTACCAGTATTGAAAGAAAAGTTTCACCGCGTCAGCAACTTTTGAAATAATTATTTCAATATATATTGGATTCATTGTTCAATGCATTTTTGAAATCAATAATTTAATTAATATTGAAATCTTTATACCAAAAGTGAACATTATTTCAATAGTTATTACAATCTATGTTTGTTATTAAAATGAATCTCACCCACTATTGAAATAATTATTTCAATAGAAGTCGTATTTCAATAGTGGTTACTATCTATGTTTGTTATTGAAATGCACTCTCACTCACTATTGAAATAATTATTTCTCTATAATGGTCGTATTTCAATAGTGGTTATTACCTATGTTTGTTATTGAAATGTACTCTTAACCACTATTGATATAATTATTTCAATAGTGGTCGTATTTCAATAGTGGTTACTAACTATGTTTGCTATTGAAATTCACTCTCAACCACTATTGATATAATTATTTCAATAGTGGTCGTTATTTCATTAGTGGTTGCAACAAAGCCACGTACAGTTGAGGCTTCATATCTGGATATTTTACTTTAAAAACACGTTAATTGTAATCTAAAACCAAGTTCAATGATAAACATGATGACTTTAACTTTTCAATCGTCAGCTTCACCTTACTTATGCATCGAAATACTCTCATCACCTGCATACGGAGTTTATGTATCTCAGTAGAGCAGGCTCTACGTATGAACAAAAACCACACAGATATTCTTAATCAGAAACTCAAGCATCTTTTTAAGATGTACAAACAGAATGTTTTTAACAAAATAATTTTGCAAATGACCAGTGACAAGGTAAGTAAGCAGCTGTCAATGATGTAAAAAAGACAGAACTTTAATTCGTCGTAAGGAATAGTTGTATATGAAGTTGAAAAGTCTTCAATTATAATGTTATTGATTTTGCTAAAATTTTATGATTTCCAATGTTTTAAAAGTTCCTTGGAAATTTTCTACTATCTACATCTAATTTACAACACCTCGAATTTATTGTTTGCCCAGTACCCTTAAAATTTCTCCTTCTCTACTGTTTATATCTTAGTGAGGAGAAAGAAAGAGGCTTTGTAGAACATTTACTGGAACCCGTTATGTATCTTTGTTTGTAAGGATTTTTATGAAGTTTCAGAATCCAATATACGTAGATATGGAAGTTCAAATAATTCGTTTTAAATGAATTAATATTGGTTTTAACCAGATTAAATCCCTGGATCTTATTTAACGATAACCTGTGTTGACTTAGGCCAAGTTTCAAATCAGACAAAAATAGAATTGACATTTAGTTGATGTCGCCAAGAGAAGAGAGAGAGCAATTTGGAATAACTATTTTGTTCTGATTTCAGATACCATGTCTACTATTTACACACAGAAGACGGTGAATCTGCTTCCAACTGGCCAACTTACAACTTACAATTGTGGAGATTTCTACCTTTACAACATTCACACTTTACAATATTACAACAATCTTTACAATGCTCACTTTTGCTTAGGTAAAAAAAAATTACTTGCAAAAAGGCCAACGCCAAGCCAGAATTTATGCAATTTATACAGTTACAGGGTATAATCGAAAGTTGCCCGCGTGGCGCAGTTGTTAAAATGCTTTAGTATATTCAGATATAAATTCAAATTTGAGAAAATATATGTGATATCTTTACTTTCAGCTTTAAAATAAAATTGATTGTTAAAAAATCTACAATTTTTAGATTTTAAAATAATGAAACAGTTCTGTTACACTTCGATTTCATTTGAATTGGCTAGATAATCCTAATTTTGTTTATAACACATAGATACACCCGCCTGTTCCACCCTGAATTCAACATCAACAGTGACAGGTATAGGATATTTTTCAGTATATGAATAAAGGATAAAAGACCATATTTTAATACTAATAGTTTTTTCTATTAAAAAGATAATAAGGGAATTTAATCAGAATTTAGGAGATTAAGACAAGCTTGGTTGGACTTGTTATAAAGTGACGACATACTGTAAGAGATAAGTCTTTTAATTGCTTTTGATTCAAGTTGTTTATAAATTGTATTGCGATCGATTGCTCGTCATTATCTTATCCTTTTTCATTGCTTCAACACAATTAGTTTTTTTATTTTACTTTTTGCAGATAGTGCCTTAAAAACGTGTCCAGAGGTTCAACCCGTCTTAATGGAATCAGTAGATGGCAGACAATTGGAGCCAGTGTTTCTGTGCATCTTTCCTCCTCTAGCTGATGACGTAATTTATGACGTATCCTGGTTCATCAATGACGAGGAATTGACTTGGGCATCATCTACCTCTGTGTCCTATCCTGAGATAAACTCAACTGTTCTCAGGCCCTCCAATTGGACAGGAAAATACTCACTAAATTTTAATGTACGGTCACTTTTTCAGAATACATGTGAATCAATTAGGATAATTTTTTTCCCTGAAATGTGTGTAGATTGAAAAAAATATTGTATGATGTAACATTTCATGTTTTTCTCAACGTTTGTAGGTAGCATGTGCAGTGAAAGTACATAATGTGTCCTCTTTGGATGTCGGCCCAATGTACAAGAGCCGCAACTTTTTTGCTGGAATCAAAGTACATGTTTCCTTAATTTATCATACAAAGACACCTTTGAGATATCGTTACTTTGTTTTTTACGTTAGAAAATTTAATAGTTGCCCTAGTAAAACTGTTGGACTAAAACTTAAATTTTGAAATTAATGCTTAATAAACCTTAAATTTTTAATTTTTCATCATTAAGTATAAAAATATTAAGACGGCTTCTCCTTCATAGTGCATACAAATTGAACATATTTTTAAAGTGACGTCAATCAATTTGAAGTTATTGTGATATAGGCAACACAGTTTATACAAAATATGACTATTTTTTCTAAATTAAAGGACGCGTTTAAATCAAAATCTCAGAATAAGAATATATCAATATCCCGCACTTCTGTATTTGATGTATAGAACGATCTATTATTTCAAG